CGTAATTACCCCACCTATTATTCTCAACAATATTATTATACTGAAGTACTCGTTTTTCAAATCCATGATTAGCTGCTCGTGCTACTCTTTCTATTGTGTTTCGAGCAACAACTCTCACTCTATCTAAATCAGCATCACTTGCAACATTTCTTACCGGTTCTTTTAAGACACTTCCATCGCCAACATCGGGTATCCAACCCGAGACTGAATCAAAATCTTTAGGATATAAAACTGTTTTCAACATTGTGTCGAATTCCCCAGGATGTTTGATTGTTTCTATCGGATATGAACCAGCTTCCAAACCCATCTCGCTAAATAAAGATGGAAAGAAATTGTTTTCTAACGTTGTATTAGTTTGTGGAACTTGATTCTGAGTTCCATCTTTAATATTGAAATCGCATCTGAAATAAGCATCGGAAAGAAGCAACAAATTCGATAATGAATTTATTTCGAAGGTAATTCTACCACCATATAACATTAAATATAACATTATTTAAAACGAGGCTATTAAAAATGTTATGTTATTTTTATATAAGGATATTTTTAATATGCTTTTTTTTTTTGATGGAATGTAGGAAATTGATTGAAGGTGTTTTTTGGTGTATAGGGTGTTTAGGTCTTTTTTAATGTAAGAATTTATGAAATGTAGGATGTAAGAATTTTATGAAATGTAGGATGTTTTGCTGTAAGAATTTATGAAATGTAGGGAATTTAGGTCTTTTTTGGGAGCTTATATATTGGTCGCATTTTCCCCATGAAATGAAATTGAATGGGGAATCCTCATGCGACCAATCTATAAGCTCATACACTACTAAGGTTTGCGTATGAATGGGTCAAACGCTTGTCCATAGCAGTCCCCGAAGTTTGCAGACATGTTTTACCGTTCAATGTAAAATCATTGTAGCTCAGGCAAATCTCCGGGAGCTGTAGATTTTATTCATCGGGTCTGTTTGGGCCCGGGTTTCTTTCAAACGCTTTACGGAATGCCATTATCCCATATTAATGTGTTATACATTATAAGAATGCATTCGTAATTCCTCCTTAATAACTCTTTAACGATATGTGACATGGATGGTTTGCTATAAAAATTCAAATCTTAAAATTTGGATAAATTTATAACCTATAAATAACAATTTTATGGTTTGATCTCTTTAAATCCTAACGTGTCAAAATGATTTACAGGTTGTTAAGAGTGTTATACAACATTGATAACAAACTGTTTAATTTGAACTTTCACACCTTGATGTCGAGCTAGAGCTAGAGAAGAAAATAATCTGATTACGTAATTTTTTAACCATTTAAATCTGTTTACACCCTTATAAAGCTGCAAATTCGCAATTTATATAACCGTTGGAATTTTTGATATCTTAATCAGAACTCAAACTACAGATGTCTAATACTTTATACAGAAAAAGTGAACCAGAGAACAAATTCATGAGATTATGTAGTTTGTTAACCCTTATTACCTTTATCATTGGATAGCCAAACCTCAATCAAATAACCAAGACTACTTAAGATACCGAAATCCATTCGTACACTGGTGTCAAAATCCATCACATCCAGTCCATCGAAAGCTACGACCATGATTCTAAACCAGCTACAGTGATGGCCTCAACAATCGTGACGAATTACCAAAAACCAGCTACAACCAAGCCCGGAAACTGATCCCAACAGTTGAACAGTCTTTCCCTAACGCATATATCATATTTACCTGTATATCCATCTCCAAAAGAATTACGAAGACGCTACAATCCTACCAACTTACCAAGAAGAATTCGAACCAGTTGACAACCTTCACTGTTCTTCAAATACAGCAAACAGCATTTGTTTTGGAAAAGTCAATTTCAAACAACGCGTAAGTCTTTAAACTAATTATTGGGGATAAAAATAACGAGAGGCCCCCACAAGGACAAACGGTAGTAAACTTGAGCCATAAAATTCTCACTCCCCTTTAACATTCAATCTTAGACTGTGGACAAAAGTTTATCCCGACACCATAAGTAGCCAATTTTGATATCTATCGTCTATTGAACGATTCCAACGTAATCTTAGCTGCACATATTTATTTCCAAACCACCATCCACGTGATGCTAGGACTATGATTATTCCCAAATCAACATGGAAACCACCCAACGCTGCCATATATCCAGAAATACTGAAAAAAATTGCAAGTATGAATGACCAACTTAATAATCCTAAGCATCATGCTATCTTAAGGACCTTGTGTGAATTTCAAAAGCGATACCATCAAAAATGGTCGGAGAAAGTATTCGAGATCGTAAACAGAAAAGATACCGGCGGCCAGTCGTAATATAACCTGCGTGATTTGTTGGGAGAAGAGATAAAGGAATCTTTCTACGAAGCCGAGATGTAACGAGTTCAACGCGAGCAAATGTTATACACTAGTTGGAGGGGTTTTCCTAAAAAAAAATATCAATTCCTGAATCAAGAAAAGCGACATTGCGTAAACAATGCGTAAAGAGTGGTTGGTGTTAAACAGCGACGGAAGTAAGACGTAAGCCTTTACCGAGAAAGCTAATCAAATCTTCCGACGGGAAATTGAACGCTGTATTTGGCATCCCTTTTTTCTTTGACACGAGGTTGTTCCAATCTGAAGTCAATGAAATCAAAATGTATATTACCGACCGCTTTTCTCAAAGATATCGTCTCGATCACTTTACAGGTGAACCAACGTTGAAAAGAATCATAATGACTTCCATTTACGTTCCAAATAACGACCGCTGGAATCAATTCTACAAGGATGTAGTTAAAAGCTGTAAGGACCCAAAATTAGATTCAACTACCAAATTTCCAGATGAATCGAAAAATATTCCTCCCCTCACCTGCGTTAGTCCGAATGAACAATCTGTCGAGCAAGCAAAATCGGAAATAGAGAAAAATCGTTAATACCGCCCCGAAACATCCGCTTGGAGTAATGAAGAAGAAGAGAAGATCCAGCTCCTTCATTCGTCAGTCATTACGCTTCCATCTAGTAGGCAGACAATAAGATACAAACAATATTTCAGATTCAACCCGAGGGGTTCAATTTATTTACTTTACCTGCAACTTAAAAGGCAATGTACAAATGTTACGTACATGAAGTTCGTCCTTTGTTTCAGATTTCTGGAAATTCCTCAATCGAATTTCACGTAAGCGGACAAAACGGTCTGGAATACGTTATACTTGAAATGCAAAATAACGCACACTGGTGGGAAATCTTTAGTGAAAGGACGTATGCGCACGGTTAATCTCATTTTAAAATCTATGTGGTCTCAAGTCGACGTCATTCTTCAAGGGAAATTGATTAATTCGAGCACAATTCATTATCCCTATCCCGAAGGGACATGAAAGAGGAGGAGATTCGTTTTAACTCTCGAGCGAAAAGAAATCGAAATTCTGTGTTGCACTGTAAAAGAAACGACTATCAATTTCCACTCATTTCGCAACTCGAGCGAGGAACTAGTAAATGCCACGATAAAAGAGTAGAAGAACGCAACTTCCATTCATCAGAGCACAGATATCCCGTCTACGTCAAGACAGAATGACGGCATAAAGAACTAAATTGATTGGGTTGGAGATAAAAACAAACTTCACAAGTTATTAATACTCAATGATTTAACCAAAGGAGTAGCTAAAAAATCACGTGATGTGAAAAATTATTCACCAATTTGAGTCACCATATAAACATCTCGGTTTGTCTGTTATCTCATAATCTGTTCTTGTCGCACTTAAGAAAGTTCGCGAGAACCATTTATTTAAATTCTCATTACATCGTTCTGTTTTGCAATCGTAGATACGCCACGGAGATCAAAGCTTTTGGACAACAGCTGGGAATGTAAAGTTTTTCCTAGATGCGTACGACAAATCAACCTCATCCACCTCGTAAGATTATTTGGTAGTATGGCAAGTGTTTCGCTCCCTTCTTTTGCCCATTTGAACCATTGTTTTATGATAGTTTACCTGGTGATATTTTCATGGTTTGGACATAATCGATCAAGCAGTTTTGAAAATTCTGCCAACGTTAGTCATAAGGGCATAGATTTGTTAGAAACCACTGTTTTCAAAAGACTCCATGGCAGAAACGAATAAACGTAATAGGTATATTTTAAGGAAACTTGATACTGCTCCAGAGCCTATTTCACTCAAAGCATACCTTTTCTCATATATAATTAAATCACAGGTTTTACGATTGCACCGAATTTGCACCAGATCAACCGATTTTATAGTCTGTACGAACGTTTTCTTTAACTAAAAGAGCTTGGTACTCTAAATATTCCACCTTAGCGGAGATAGCTAAAACAGATTCTATGTTGGTGCCATTTGTCAGGCAAATAGTTGTAAAACGTGTCCCTTTAAATCAGAACTCACTTTTTCATGTGTAATTGTACTAAGAAAAAGTATCCTGTTCAAGAGCATTTAACATGTGAAACCTCGAATTTAGTTTTCATGTAAGAAATTAATGTCCCAAAGAATATGTAGGAGAATCTAAAAATAATTTACGTACTCATAAATCAAATCAAAGGAATTAAAGAAAATCAAAACTGTTTCTAATCAGATCAACTTGAACGACCAATCATCAGACGATCTTATGCTATCCCCTTTGAGTGCATAGTAATTGACCTGCCAGAAGTTTCGTCAAGGTAGGGAAGCCAAATACAAAGACTCGATAGGACAGAATATTGTCGTCCCGTTTAATACCACTAACAACCGAGCAAGTAAAATAGGCATGCCCATTATTAGAGTCCGCAAATTCCCCGTGTCTATAAACAATAGGTGATGGTTGCAATTCACAAATACAGAATTTCAATTATAACCTTGTTCATAGCCAATGTAGGTAATTAGGTCACAGGTAAATCGGTCACCGGATATTTGGTCACAGTAAAAAGGTCACACGGTAATTTGGTCACAGTAATAAGGTCACACAGTAATTTGGTCACAGTAAAAAGGTCACACGGTAATTTTGTCACAGTAAAAAAGTCACTCGGTAATTTGGTCACAGTAATACTGTCACATGGTAATTTGGTCACAGTAATAAGATCACACGGTAATTCGGTCACAGTAAAAGGGTCACACGGCAATTTGGTCGCAGTAAAAAGGTCACATGGTATTTTGGTCACAGTAAGAAGGTCACATGGTAATTTTGTCACAGTAAAAAAGTCACACGGTAATTTGGTCACAGTAATACTGTCACATAGTAATTTGGTCACAGTAAAATTACCCATTTTCAGTGGTGTTGGTCATCTTATTCACATCAACCGCTTGTAGTTGATAACTAGATTCAATAAATGGTGGAGGACGGGCAATGTCACAACTTAAGTAGGTTCGTGACTTTGACCTTGACCTCCAATGACCTTAAAAAGTCATTGTGTTCGTCTCTTCGTCCCATGGGGATTCTTTGGACTAATTGCTCTGTCCAGATGCGGTGTCATGAATCCTCCGACACTCCGACACAGTCCGACAAGACATTTGAGACTTGATATTCGCAAATTGAAAAGCACGTTTTCATCACACAGGCTGCAATCTTGACTACGTTTTCGAATTTACCACTGAATGTGGAATTCATATTTCCGCAGAATTGTTTTTCTGGTCCTCATCGATCAAGTGGCGTTTGAGACTGAAATAATAAACGGTTAGGCCTATGTGACCTAAATTTATAGTGGCATTGTCTCGATTGTTTAATGAACTAGTCTTTAGATCAATTTGCCTACCAAGCCATTTCAATCTTGAAAGGTGCTACCAAGCCGTTTCAATCCGCGATGAGATTTGTGGGCGTCCGCTCGTATATATTAGCACCGTTGCTCGTAAATTTCCACGCCTGTCCCAATGACCTGAGCGTTTTTCAATTTTCGGGTAGGGTGAGATGGGCGCCCTTCAGATACGTGAGATACGTCCGAAGCATCTCACCCTACCCCCACCCGAAAATCGAAAATAATCTGCTTTGAAACGCTCACGTTATTGGTACAGGCACGGAAATTTATGAGTAGTGGAGATTATATATAAAATACATATTAAATCAACTTCACTGCTGAAGTCAATACTGAATGATTTCACAGGCTGCATTCAGTGAGTGAGAATTCTGTAATTTGGAATGGCGAGAGTCGGCAAAAGTTAAACGGTGGCATGGCTTGTAAGCTTAACAGGCAGACCGGTGGCGGGTTGTATCAGCAATAACTCTAGAGCTGCAGATTGACAGATTGAACAAATACTGTTCGACCGTTCAGGGCCCCACAAGGTCCATCCATCTCTGGCAGAGGGCAAGCAGAATACTATATTATGAAATAAATATCACTACACCAGTTACCAGTAATTTCATTTTACTAGTTTTGCCTTGACCAGATCACTGTGTGACCATATTACTGCGACCAAATTACCGTGTGACCGTATTACTGTGACCAAATTACCATGTGACCCTTTTACTGTGACCAAATTACCGTGTGACTTTTTTACTGTGACCAAATTACCATGTGACCTTATTACTGTGACCAAATTACCATGTGACCTTATTACTGTGACCAAATTACCATGTGACCTTATTACTGTGACCAAATTACCTTGTGACCTTATTATTGTGACCAAATTACCGTGTGACCTTTTTACTGTGACCAAAGTTCCGGTGACCGAATTTCCTGTGACCTAATTACCGCGCCCCGGTTATATTTGACCTAATTGCAGATCAGAACAGAGGAAAATACCCACCAATGCCCGACCGTTAATTCTGATGTATAGCTCAAGTAAACCTTCCGATGAGGTCATCATCGGAGCATATCGGCTTAATACGTTCATAAATATATTCCCCTAAAACGCGCCTTTCTGGACTACGGGAAGTAATGTGACCCTGTCATAGAAACGTTTAAAGAGACAAGATTACTACATAGGTACAATCCATTTCGGTTTTACTGATCTACGATTGTCTCAGATGATACGTTCTTGTAGTAGATTTACGAAATTGGTTGTATGAATTTAGACTTTTGGATTCTGTAATGCCCCAGTTACCTTCCAGCCAGTCATGCAACTTGTACTGAAGGGGCTTGTCCGATGTTATCGTGATTGGTTCATCGTTTCAAAACTATTTAGGAAATTTAACCACAATTTTCGAAAGGTTTAAAGTTAACAATCTGAAATTGAACCTGAAGAAATGTCCATTATTTATAAATGAAATGAAATGAATGCAGTTTTACGTCCTACTTGCACCATGTGGGCTAATGAAGACAGTCCATTATTTAGTTAATTTCCTTGGAAAGAAATGAAAATGAAATGAATGGAGTTTTACGTCCTACTCTTCTGCACCTTGTGGGCTAATGAAGACGGTCCTTGGAAAGAGGATAGGTCTAGATGGTGTTGCTGTAAACCCGGACAATAAGAACACAATTATGAAATGGCCTGTTCCAGTATCCACGAAGGAACTACAGCCTTTCCTTAGGTTTGCTAATCGACATCGACAGCATATTCCATCTTTTGCAAAGTTAGCATGTCCTCTGTATGATCTTGTTGGAAAGAAAGTAGATATTCAATTGGTCAACGGATAATATAAAATCATTGGAGCTTCTTAAGTCAGCTCTCGTGAATCCTGTGGTATTACGTTATGTTAATGCTGCTGACCAATTCATATTGGACACAGACCCTTCCGGTAGAGCGTTATGAAAATCTACTCTACATACAGAAGGAAAAGAAGAAACCAATTAGTTATGGAAGTTAACTTTTGACAAGTATCCTACGTCGCTATTGTACCACTCGAAAAGAATTGTTAGCCGTTGTCATGTTAACAAGACAATATCGAAATTACTTTCTTGGTAACTCTTTTGTTATACGCACTGATCATGGCAGTTTATCACGGTTACTGAATTTCAAAATTGTGGACGGTCAACTGGCTAGGTGGTTATCCCAATACGATTTCAAGATTAAGCATAGAGCTGGAAATAAACATGCTGATGGGCTCTCCAGAATATTCGATGATCTAGCTGTGTGTAGTTGCTACAATGAATGGACGGGATATTTGGCTTAAGATATAATTTGATAAGCTCAGGATCAACAATTTCTCCCAATGAACTGGCGTTGATGAGCCCTGCCTTTAACTACTTTTATCAGAACAAGAGTCAACTTGTATATAAGACATTCTTTTTTACAAGTATGTCTCTCTTACTCTTTCTAGAAATCTGGTTATGGTTCTTAGCTCCCTTCAGCAAGAAGTCTTGCGTCTATCTCATTTCTGCCTGTCAGTGGGGCATTTTGGACAAAATACAAAACTCCAGCAGCTGATGTAGCTAGTTGGTAGGCGCCAGATATCGCATGATTATGAGCTATATGTTAAGGCATGTAAAGTATGTAATGTCAATAAAAAGGCGAAACCTGTCTCTTATCAAGCAGGCTGTCCGTTAGAACGAGTGGACATATTAGTCTACCGCTCTTTAACCTTAAATATCATATACATTTAGTCGTTGCACTGTTCCCTTTTTCAGTTCCGGTGCCTTCAAAAGACTTGAAGATTATTATGAATTGGACCATATTATATTTAATTATTCTTATCTGGTACTTCAAATAACTTCCAGTCGCTATTGGAAACATTTTAATACGGCCGAATATAGTAATCAATTTTTCGTGTTCATCTTGATTTATTCAGATCTAACTTTGATCCTATGAAAAAACTTCCGAGTTGTATTTGTGAAAAATATTAATATTGTTATAGGAAATTTTGGTTAGGAATAAAAAAAAAATAGAATTATGTATTGGTTTAATTATTCTATTTTAGGTCAGTATTTGTCATTCAATCATTGTGGTATTTTATTACTTAATGATTATATTGATTATCAAATTAAACTTACCTGGTGGGGTCGATGGCCACTTATTCGAATTTACATTCTGAAGAAGATCCATCACGTTCATATCTGAAGCTGTATTATATAAAGCAGCGCCTGTAATAAATCCCGTGAATCCATATAATGGTGCGGGGCTCTGACCGCCACCAAATCGAAGTACTCCAGGAGTTTGTAAAGGAAATTTGTATGTGGGATAACTGCTATTTTCTCGTAGAACATCAATGTATAAAGATACCACACTAGCATTGAAATTATTTAAAAATGCTATCATCGTCCATTGGTCTGTAACAATACTATACGGCCCCTGCCCGCTTCTTGGTATGTCTTTAGACGTAACGCCAGATGTAGTTACATCCATCTTAGCAAAGACATTCCCCGACGTTAGTTGCACATACATATTATTGATAAAATCACCAGTGTTTTGATCATCAGCACGGTAATGAAATATAAATCCATTACCGTTGTCGGACTTGATAAATGCTGTAAAAACTGAATCTTTGATAGTTGGGTCACTTGGTATCGCAACATCTACATACTGAGTTCCATCAAAATATAAGGATGTATATCCTAGAGTCGGATGACCAGGTCCAACAGGCGGACAATCTGTTAAATTTGGACTAATACCATCTTGACTGTGCACAACTTCAAAGCCGTTTGTCTGTCCACTTAATGGCCATAAATATTTAGGAACTGTCGCTGCATCAGTTAACTGACAAAAAGCCACTGAAATAAAGAAAATAGTCAATAGATGTTATACAAGGCCGAATAGTTCCGAACAGACCCGACGATGCAACTCTACAGCTTTTAGAGATTTGTCTCAGTCGAAATGATTTCACATTTAATGGTAAAACATATTTACAAACTTCAGGGACAGCTATGGGCAAACGATACGCCCCTTCGTACGCAGACCTTTTCATGGCAGATTGGGAACGTGAGGTAGTGCCTCTCTGTCCATTTGACCCACTTTTTTACGGACGCTTTTTGGATGACATTTTTATGGTTTGGACTTGCTCTATCGAACAGGTTTGGGAATTCTCTATCAAACTAACCGAAAACGTGAGTGACGAAAGTATAGACTTTCTTGATACCACTATCTTTAAGGGAGATTCCATAGCAGAAACAAATAAACTGGATATTAAAGTGTATTTCAAAGAACATTCGAATGTAATATATTTAATTTAATGCAAGAAATGCCCCAAACAATATGTAGGAGAAACTAAGAATAATTTACGAACTGTTTTAATGCTCACAAGTCGGATATCAAATTAAAGAAAGACAAGCCTGTTTCTTATCATTTCAACCTCGATGACCATTCAATAGACGATCTCACCCCAATCCCAATTGAGCGCATAGAAATTGACATGCTCGAAGGTAAACTACCAAATTTCGTCAATCTAGAGAAGCCCATTGGATTGAGAATTAGAAAACAGCAAGACCTATAGGACTAAATAGTCACCATAATGTAAGCATAGCACCCCTTGTTGTCCCGTTCAATACAACCAGCAATCGAGCAAGCAAGATAGTTCGTGCCCACTATAAGAGCCTTCAAGAGAAATTCTACCATGACTATAAGCAGAAAATGATAATTGCATTTTCAAAAAGTAAGAACTTCTAAGATATTGTTCATAGTATACTAAAATCAATCAGTACATAATAGATACTATACTGAATTCACACCTTTTTCCTTTTTGATAGGTTCCATCCTTAGGTTGTAAAAAATAATAATCACAAAGTATCGTCTAAATCGGCTGAATTATGTCTTCTGGAAAGTTTAAGAGCTAAAAATCGAACGCTTTTTTAAAAGATAGCCCACATCAGCTTTGATTTTGAAAAAAAAATATTTGGCAGTACAGTTGCAATCACCGGAATGAATTATTCAACATTCAGTCAATCACTTCTTTTGAACTTGTTTGTGCGAGACTGAATATTATTACCAATTTTTTTTTTCAAAAGCTGACTTTAAGTGTTTTTAGGTACTAGGTCGACATCTCCTATAAAACATTTTTTGAATTTCAATAGCGTTCATTCATGGGAGATAATAAACAATTTCACTAAATTTCGTCAAAATCTGTCAAGACTTGTGCAGAAGAGTGTTAACAAGCTAAAACTTAACTGCGTTAAAAAAAAGACCAATAACTCATACTAAATATTTTTCGATTATTCATCTGATTTCCAATAGGCTTATCCTTTGGTGATAACCAAAACTCACACCAAGTTTCGTCAAAATCCGTCTTCAAAATTGTGCCTTCTGTAGTGTTTACGAGCTAAAAATTGAACGAACAAGGGCAATAATTCATACTAAATACTAATGATTTTCAATAAGGTTAATCCTTGGGTGATAACAAACATTCGCACCAAGTTTCGTCAAAATCTGTCAATAATTGAACCTTGTAGAGTGTCAAATGGTAAAATCTCGACCTATGCCGGTATAAATTCCCAAACCATCGCTGCTACGAATGTGTTTCTTAGAACCAATGTTTCAAATTTTTCGACTTTTCTGTTCATCCATGTAGTCTACTGGTGGGATCATGGGCTGTAAAAAAATTGATTTTGAAAGCTATAACAGAAAGATGTATGAGAATGTGTTATAAAACCTTCATATTTAATCAAAATCTATATTTTGTGTAAAGACAACAGTTTTAAGACGAATTGGTGTGGATGAAATTTTTGTACTAAACAGAACGTGAAATTTCACATGCGTAGACGTTGTTACCTATTTTTAGGGTTGTGTGTGCAATAACAATTGATACACAACAAGAAAAAATCATTAACTGTTCATCAAGTGATATATTAATGTGGGCGTAAACTGTGACAGCAAAACATGTTATTAAAACTGTTGTAAATTCAAAATATGTACAAAATTTCTGAAATAATGAAGTTGTGTCAGTTGTCCTATTTTCTCTCTCTGTGGATGTTTCGATTCTTTGCATGAGCTACAGCTATAATGTGTACCGCCATTCGAATCGATGGGAATTCTGTCGTCCTCCCATTCCCCAGCCATATATCTGCTGTCTACATTTTCAACCTGCTACATATTCTTTTAGGAAGACGGAATAAGTTCAATAGCATTGAAATCGGCATGGTAGCATAAGTAGAACTGCATATTCACGAGAGTGTGGGAGGGTATCAAATCTGTATTTGTGGGGTGTATCTTGCTGTCACCCATGTCACAATCGAAAAATAGTTTATATGAATTATTGCCCTTGTATTATTTAGTACCGTGCTGAAGATTGAATTTTGCATTCTAGAGTTTTCATGAGCTAAAAATTGAACACTTTTTCAATAACAAGGGCAATAACTCATACTCAGTATTATTCAGTATCGCCCTAAAGAGTTCAAAGAAGTGTATGACTGAAGGTTGAATATTTCATACTGGTGATTGTTACTGTACTGCTAAATATTTTTATTCAAAATCAAAGCTGCAATTGTATATTACCTTGCCTGGCAAGCTATCTTAAAGTAATGATCTCGCTAAATGATAATCTGAGAAACATTGGATTTTGGTAGTCGGTACTGTTGATGCTAAACTGCGTAACGTCATAATAATTGATTGAAATTCTGTCAACGTCCCATTACGATAGCAATATATATTCTGCTGTCTAATACCTTATTCTTGCAACCTGCAACCAAATAGCATTCGGAAGCATTTAGTTGCCACTGACCACTGAAACAAATATTCATGGTATGGAGGAAACCGATGCGGCAAAAGATCATGTTAAAGTGATGATCTAATTAAATGATAATCTGAGAAACATTGGATTTCGTTAGTCGGTAGTGTTACTGCTATACTGGGTAACGCCATTAGAATCGATTGAAATTCTGTCAACATCCCATTCCGCAGCAATATCTGCTGTCTAATACCTCATTTAGATTTGTGACTGAATCATCTGAAATCAAACAATTTTACACCATACGATCTATGCCTCTTTCATTCTTCCTCATTTTCGCGATATGAGATGGGTGCACAGCAGAACTAACTACAAAATTAGAAAATATTCAATTTGATGCACCAGGGACTATATCGGTCAACAAATTCTTTGGAAAGTGACATGATTTACGACCTTGCAGGGAATTCAGAGACCGCACAAACCAGTAATGATGAACACAATTTTGAATAATATCACTCCTTCCTATCTATCAGACCAAAATTTACTTAATATTCTCCCAAAAATTATATATTTTAATATAATTGTAGCAATATTTTTTATAACTCATTTATACCATCAACCATCTGTTATTGGAATCATTTTTTTGAAAATCAAAATTTTGTCCTCTCTTTATCATCTTTAAACTTTCACTTAACACTCGTGACCAAGTAATAGTATTTAGGATATATTCTGTGCCTTTCATGTTGTGATCTTAATGTCAATAAAGTTCTACGTCATGTTTCGGAACACCCTGCACACGCGATACCCATACCATGATGATAAATTAACAAACTTCTATTAAAACGTATTAATATAGATATCTTACTAAATGGAAGAGACGTTAGTCTGTTCCGCAATCCAATTAACGTGTAAATAAAATATTGTTTTTAAAAGTAATGCTAATTCATAACCTAGAGACTCAATTGACAAACACAATTTACCTGATCACACCCATCCTCTTCATCCTTTGCCGCATTTTGCTAATGGTGATTAAGTCCGAAATGACAAGGTTTCCTACCAAATATATATTTTATTATATATCAACCTCAGTGCAAGCAAATGTTGAACTTTGGTTAAAAAAAAATTGTCGTTTGAATCCGGAAAGTATACAAACCTGCTGTCCTGGCAAAATCTCCGCCATCGATCACTTATGCCCGTCTTCATAATGTAGACAGATAAGACGTAAAACTTCATTTTATTAGTCAACACTGTAGACGTAAACTGCACTTCAATTCATTAATGATCAATGTCAGACATGTATTAACATATACGAAATGGCCAAAGAACTGAAACAAATAACCAGGACTACTCCAGATACCGAAATTCATTCTTACTTAGGCGCCCAAATACATCATATCCAGCCTATCCTCGAACCGACAACATCAAGTAAGTCTTAAAGCAAATTAATGGGGATACTGAGGTCCATCTAGGACAAACTGTACTTAAAAATGCTCATACCCCTTCAACATTCAATCTTAAATCAAGTTTATCACAACACCTAAAGTAGTCGATCTTGATTATCTCCATCTATTGAACGAAGTCAACGAAATATTAGCTATACATGTTTCCACGTAGAGTCCACCTAAGGCTGTCCTTTATCCAGAAATACTGAGAAACAATTTGCAAGTAATATCAGCTTAATTTCTAAGCAACTAGAAGCTTAATCTCACAAGAGTAGAAAGTGACGTCTTGAATCCTACTCAACATAGACAATACCATTGTTACTGTAGAAGTTTCGCCCATTCATATGCCAACGTAACGTGACCCATTGTTTAATGGTCGCTCTCCAGGTAATATTTACGTGGTTTGGACAAACTAGATAGAACTGATAGATACTCATTAAGTCCTGCACAATGACTCGGTAACCCAAAACATAACTTTTCTGGTAACATTATACCAAATTTGTTATACCAATTTTAATATCTAAAGCTTCAGTCCCAATTGGAGTTAGGTATCTGCGATGCTTTGAGATGGGATAGCGACAAAATTGCAGAGACTATGGAGCAGCCCCATAAAATATTTGCAACGGCGCTGGTTCGGCAAAGGTCTGCTTAATATTAGACGACACTTCTGCGATGTTCTCCGATAATCTGCGATGGATCTGTTGACCATGATCAAGATTGATCAGAGATATAAACTCTTAGTTGTGTGTATAAACTCGGGTTGTGTGTGTGGGGCTATTTTCTCTCCCAGACAGGGAGATTGTGCTTGTGATGCCCAACACTGGTTGCAGAGATGTGGCCTCCAAATTTGAAAACTTCTTACTACTTATTCTCTAATATCTTACCGATACGTAACAGATGGTCCGGCATTACATTGTTGTTTCGTCGCCGATTTAACGGCTAAGGGTTATTAGACAAGTGGTTGCCTAGCAAGATACGCCCACTTTCCTGATACATTTTCAGTATATCAAGGGTGGTAACCTATCTGTGTCAAATCATACCAAAAATCTAATTTGTGCAAGATATTGTTGATTTAAACAAACACACATTATTTAATAAAATTCTAACAAACTGTCCTCCAAGAAATTTTGATACGTTTTTACTAAGTCATTGGCAATAACCCAAATTCCGTTGATCGAAATATTGTCAAAATTAATCTTGACTAAGATCTCATCATTGTAAATATTAAAACCAAATTTCATATAAATTGGATGAAATCTGTAGTCTTTATAGTGTTCACAAACAATTTTTGACGCGTTTTTCATAATTCAAGGGCAATAACTCCTAAACCGTTCATCGAAAGATAGCCAAATTCGAACTTGTCCAAGATCTCATCATTAGAAATATTCACACCAAATTTCATTGAAATTCGTTGAAATTGGATGAAAACTGTAGTCTCTATTGTGTTCACAACCGAAGTTTGACGCGTTTTTCATAAAGTCAAGGGCAATAACTCAAAATCCGTTCTTCGAAAGATCGTCAAATTCGAAGTTGTCCAAGATCTCATTAGTATAAATGATCACACCAAATTTCATTCAAATCAGATAAAAACTGTTGTCTCTATTGCGTTCACAAGCCAATTGTGAACGGACCGCCGATGGACAGGGGCGACG